CTCCTCTTCAGTACCCGATAGCTCTTTGTCATCGTCCATGGCTTCTTCTTCATCGAGCTTCAGTGTTGAACTGTTCAGGTGCGACTCACGTTCTTTTTCTAGTGCCAACTTGTAGACTTTGTTTCTTAAAGTAGATCTGTAATAACGAGAAATATGAGATCTAATAATCCTATATTCTCTATATACCCCAACAAAACTGTAGTTCATGTTATTTCCGATTTTTGGTTTCTTAATAGCTTTCAAATTTTCTTAATCACAATACTTTTTATCTCATTCGGCGTGGGAGGTGTAATATAACAATATTTTCAAGAGCGATAGATAGTAATTTTGTTCGATATTGAAAGAACGTTGTTTGATATACTATATATACGATTTTCATGCAGTTTAAACAAGTTGTAAAAGAAATTTATTATTGATCGTCACTTTGCTATACCTAGTCATTGAATTTCTATCATCACAGCTTTGTTGATTGGACATCTTTTAAAAGTAATAAACATTAGTTCAATTTTTAATTTAAAGAATTTTTAATTCTTGAACATGATGTCAACCTTCCACGATCAACAGTCTCAAGATTTCTCTACAAGAGGGTTCTCCAAATTCAGGGATGCCGGCGGCTCACTTTTTCCACTTTTTAATTTTTTCGATCCATCTTACTTTTACTTACTTTTCATTGAAAACAATAACTTTTCTTACTATTTTGGCTCTCACTGTTCATATTGCACTTTATGAATGAAGAAGCTGTCCTCGTTCTCTCAAGCTTCACGGAATTATACGAAGTGATCTATTTTTCTAAAAATTTACTATGATAAAGTACAGGGTTCTCGCAAAGCTGAGCCAATATGTGTTACACGAAAAATTACAAGGATTAGTCGAAATCTGCGTTGAATTTCAATTCAGCTCTGCTAAAAGGTCTATATATATGCACTAGGGATTTCAAATTAGGAAATGGTAAGAAACTAAAATACAAAATCGTTTATGAAGGCAAAGTTCCGCATTTAGGTAACTAATAAAATGTTACTTAGATAGTTTTTCAATTCAAAGTATTTTTAGAGAGACAGGAAATACGAATTCACCCTTGATCTTTTTCATTTTATCCTGGCTTAATTTTAATTTTAATATAAATTGCATCAACAGCTTTTTACAAGCCAATGTACAAGTATGGTCACCCCCATATTATAGACATGAAATGAAAGGGATTGATGAAGAAAAAAACAGAATAAGCAAAAAGACGTCATTCTGATCCAATATAGCGGACATTTAATATGACAATATATGATGATAGATGATGATGATGAAGCCAGGAAGTGTCTATGGGAATCCATCGAATAGAGCCTCGCTTCCTTCCTAATGTACTCTAGTCTTACGGTCTAATGATTAAGTTCGTGAACAATTGTGTAAAAAATACTCATCTGTAATGACGATACAAACTTTTTAACAGTAGTTAGCTAAAATGTAGGTTCAATCAATTTGACAAGAATACTTAATAGATATAAGTATGTCTCCTGCATTTGCAAGAATTTGTTATATTTTTTATGTCTTTTATGCGCCGTATGCATTTGATCTTAAAATATGCATACGTATGAATAATTATCTTTGCTTACGTCAACAAAATAGTAACAAATACGTTATATGAGTTATTCTCGTTTCTTTCGCAAATTCTTATTTATATTATCCGTTTAAATTTGGCATTATGACATTCAATCTCTCAGAAAATTAACTCACTTTTTATGTATACATTCACTATTTCTCACTACTTTTTTGAAAATCTCAATTTTCACATTTGAATTCATGCTTTGGGCCACCAGCACCCCCGCAAATTGTAAAAATTCTGTAACAAAAAAATGCTATGCCCTGAACAATTTTTCACATGTGCTTATACCGAATCCGACCCAGTCAATATTTACATCAGGTATAGGGAAAAAATGGCGTCAAGTTATCTCATTCATGGTATGATTTCACATTTTATTGATTTTTGGATGTTGATAAAGACTGTATTTACCTTGAAAATGCTGAAAGTTATTTTGTCGATTAATACATGCTGTGATCGTTTTTCCTGTCATGACCATTTGACATCACTAGCTTTTGGTTTAGACCTAGTAACACTAGTCATATCGTCAAACAGTTAACTAAGATTGTGGCACAGTGTGTTTGTGAACCCAGTTTGTGCATTTCTTGGATTGGGAGATCATAGCACGCCTTAGCTGAGGTTACGATATTTGTTTATATTTGCTTTTCCTTGTAGCACGTATTAATTGAGCAAAATTTGCCATAAACTATGCAAATTTACTGATAATATTGACTAAATAGATTTGAAGATATCGGAGTGACAACCATAGAAGTCATGACCAATGATGCTATGGTTGTGACCTTTAGTCATAAGGTAATGACGATTTATCACAAATGAGCTCGGTGAAGCTAAAAAATGATGTTTGATGTTTTTTCTAAATAATAGGAATGAAACCGAAATTCAATTTTTTTCTTGTCACTGAAAACAGGATTGACCCTTATTATATGTACATACCTGGGTATGCCGTAGATGACGGCCGCCCTCCTGGTGCCCAGCTTGCCTGACTGGATGTCCCTGAGGGCGGCCTGCAGCTCGTCCTCCGTGTACGTTCGCCTCCCGGCCACCGCTGACACACGCGGCTTTGCTCTGAAATCGCAACTACATGGATATTTTTTATTTTTATCACTGTTCCAAATCGCTTTGTTTATCTTAATACATGCAGGATGATTCGTTGAGCATGAAGCAATCGAAATCTTCATTTGAATTGAGGTGTAATCGACTCAGTCATTTCTAAAACCCCGTAAGTCACCCCATCACCAATAATTAAACGAGTTTCAAAGCACTTTTTGGGCTTAATATAGTATTCTTTAAAGAGGAAGGAATGTATTGACTTACGTGGTTTACACCAAGAATACGCATTTACCTTTAAGAATGCATGTTGGAAAAATGTGATTTGAGTTGGTTTTGAAATGATGAATTCAAATGTAAAAATTTAGGGTTTCAAAGAGGACGACGATGACAGGTAGTGAGTGGCCTTGAAAATAAACCATGATACTCAGCTATTTCACAAACGCGTCAGAAGTACAGAGCAGGCTAGCTTACTGCAGTAAAGTATAAAAATATACCATACATCCATATTCATATTCAATAATTCTATAAACACCCCGAAAACTTCCTACAGAAGTGCCAGGAGATCAAAAAATGAGTCATTTGGGGATCTCTGATGTGACCTAGGTAACGACCTCAGGGGTAATTTGAGCTTAAGCTTTGTAAAACGAGAAAATCAAAAATTATGTAGATGATGTCCGGAAATTGAAGAATAATACTGCAACTGGAAATTGGTCACAACACGGTCTGATTGGCACAATTTTGTTTAGTCAAATTTTATTTAAATCTATTGGTATTTAAATTGTGTTTTTTCTTATGTTATAGTGATATCCTCATGGAAATTAGATATTCTTATGCAACATTTTAATGAAAAATAATTTGTACGTCTTACTTCGACACCCTGTAGTAATAAAGAATGAAATAGGATCATCATGCCAAATACTTTGAAAACCAGTAAGTTTAACGAGATTTTCAGAATTGTACTGCTTTCTAACATTCTGTTGGCAATTTTATTTTTACAGCAACTCTAATGGAGGATCGTCTGATTTCTGGAATATAAAAAATTTTTTACGATACGAATAATGAATTAGGGGCAGGGTTGATGTTATAGTGGTAAGTTTTTCTTAAACTCTCTAGACTAGGTGCTCAAAGTGGTCACCACTGACCTTTTTGATAAATGATCGTTTTAGCTTGCGGAAATACCCCCCCTGCGAGATCTTCTGAGAGGCCCAAATGATTTTCGCTCGTAACTGTGCTACGTAAATTACCTCTGTTTGATAGATCATATCTTTAATGCAACTCCGATAAAAAAATCCAATCGATTTATGTCCCAAGATCCAATCGACAGGACCAAGGCGACTGGTCCACTTTCCTGGATAATTTTAATATAGGTGATCGCGGACAGGCTGAGCGTGACTGGACAACCGTCCGATTGTACGAGGGATGTCTTTTAAGTTTTGCATATAGAAACATAGTAGGCCGCGCGGATCGAACGGCAGTACTGAATCTTAACCTCACTCTTTAGTAAACTTAAATTCAAAGTTTCACAACAATACGTGCAGTGTTCTCACTACAGTGAATTTTTAAGTGTCACCAAGTCATTAGAAAAATGGAACTCAACCGAGAACATTTGCGCGCCATAATTTATTACAACTTTCAGAGACAATTATCGCAACAAGAATGCCTTGCTGAGTTACTGTCTGTTTTCGGCAACGAAGCGATACATCAATCGAAAATTACCCGTTGGTATGGAGAATTCAAACGTTTACGGGTGAGTCTTAGCGACGATCCCAGAGTGGGTGCACCAAAAACGGCAATCACCCAGGAAAACGTCGATGCTGTGCGCAAACTCATCATTGAAGATAGACATGTGACATATCGCGAGATTGAAGCGTCCTTGAAGATCTCAAAGACCTCAATTCAAAAAATTTTACATGAAGAATTAGGAGTAAGAAAATTAGTTTCTTGTTGGATACCCCACCTGTTGACTGAAGAGCAGAAAGCAGCCAGGGTTAATTGGTGTCAAAAAACGCTTGACCGTTTTAATTCCGGAAACTCAAAAAACGTGTACAGCATTGTTAGTGGTGATGAATCGTGGATTTACTGTTATGAACCAGAAAATAAACGGCAGTCGGCTGTTTGGGTGTTCCACAGTGAAGAAAAGCCAACAAAATGGTCATGCGTTCTCGAAGTGTTTCGAAAAAGATGGTTGCGACATTTGTGTCAAAAGCGGGTCATATTGCAACAATTCCTCTTAATGAGCAAAGAGCTGTTACTGCGGATTGGTATACCACCATTTGTTTGCCAAAAGTCATCACCGAGCTTCGAAAAATCAACCCCGAAAGAAGAATCATCCTCCACCAAGACAATGCAAGCTCGCACACATTAAGTTCCAACGATTTCTTTACTTTCCCGAAAATTAAAAACAGACTGCGTGGTCAAAGGTTCCAGTCACAAGAAGAAGCAGTTGACGCATTCAAAAATGCCGTTTTGGATCTGCCAGTAAACGAGTGGAATAAGTGCTTCGAAAATTGGTTCGAGCGCATGCAGATGTGTATTAATCTTCGTGGAACATACTTCGAAAAACAATAAAATCATTTAAAACTACCTACCGTGTTGTTTTATTTCCATATGAAAAACTTAAAAGACAACATACAAGGCAGTCGATTTCTTTGTAAGTCCAGGTAGATTTCCCCCGTTAAAGCTACTGGTAATTCGTGGAGACCAATCACCTTCTCATTTAGTATATCAGTCCACAAGTTAACCATAAGCTGTATCTGGGAACGATCTTGACGTATTGCATCCACTTGTCAACTATGAAAATTGGGCGTATTCGAGTACCGTATTTTCTTGCACGAAGATAGTCACTCCACATAGTTTTGTCGAAAAATGTAGAATCGACATCAATAATTCTTAACATTGTCGGTCAGATGACCGCAAGCATTGCATGCGCAGGTGGAAAGGATGGACCTGGTATTGTTTCAAGGTGAAATGGATAGTGCTTTTAGGTATGCCTATAATACTAGCTAGATTCCTATCTGAAGTGGAGGGATCAGCGTTCACTTCATTCAAAATCTCCTCGTCGACATCAATTCGGTCTGCAACTGTCACCACTTCAATATTGCCAATAAATACCTCATACCGTATATTCACCAAGATCGCCGGATCAGAATCCATTAGAGTTTTTTATTGGGACTGAAAATATCAAATAGAAGTGGTTTCTATAGTACTGGTGCATAAATAATTACTATCATAAAGTTAAATCTGTCATTACTCCTTATCTGCGACATAAAAACAGTTTTTGATATTCGAGAAGCTTGACGAACTTAAATTAAAGCACAATGCTGGACAAGACTACAATTGCAAGACTGGCATTAAATAACCAATCGCAACAATTAAACTAGACGAGTGCTGTATATCTCGAAAACCATGAAACATTTGACTAAACCAAATTTTGCTAAGTAGGTCATGATGTAACCTATTTCCAGCTTCAGGATTATTATTCTATATTGGGACACCCTGTGATTTTATCGTTTGTCTATTTCTATTGGCAGATGATCTATCCTCAAAAATGTTTTGGAATACAAACTAAATACGCAGTTACATAGAAACTATGAAAAGGGGAAATATATTCGTGTTGACGGATGCGTCCATCCAAAAATCACATACAAAAATATAACAATATCTGCGACACGTCATGAAACAAATAAAGTACGTATACATCACATCTATACATAGGTGTACGAGATAACACATTTTTCATCCACTACAAAAAAAATCAAACCAACCAATCGAGCACAAAATCAATCTGGTGTGTCAGCCAAAAAAGCGATTAAAAAGTCACTATGGATAGAATGCTTTATCTGGCAAATTACAAACATAAGCCCGCACATAACGTCGAATAATTGGTTATCAGGCTATAAAAGCCGCGAATTTTGTGTAAATAAAAACAAGCGATAACGTGAGGTTGACTAACCTATCCCACACGAAAACAAATTGCGCTCCAAATTTTTTCGACAATGGAATTATGCAATCCGTGTGCCAGTAGTGGCACGCAAAAAATCAACACGGGACGGACTTTTTTTTGCTTTCGCCAGTTTCGAATGATTAGCACCGCTCGCGATCGGCAACCTGTTGATACGCGCGTATTTTTGCTGGATGGACGAGGGAAACATTTTGCATCATTTGTACAGCCGTGTTTATACGACAATCCAGTTTGGGTTGTGACATGGGCATGTTTGTCTGTAGCGTCCAACAGGCCAAAGCCGATGTACATCTTTTACCATAACCTTCGGTCGAAGCAGAGTTGAAAGTTCAGTTGTCTTACAGGGTGAAAATGGTTGCATAATGCAAAATTCAGAATGTTTAAAAATTGTATATTTTGCAAATTTTTAATCCATTTTGCGCTATGGAATAATACTGTTTGGAGGCAGAACAGAATTGCAAAAATTATTTGTTATTCAAAAAAAGAGCAATAAGACATATGGAATTTAGTGAAACAGGTGTAGACGTATTTAAGTCAATGGGTTTAATGACAATATACAGGGTGGGCCAACGAAAAGGTTGCACCCCATTTGTGACTCTCCTGGTATATTTTGGGAAAAACTCTCAGACATGTCAATTTTGATCTCTAGGGGGACGTCTTTTCATCTATAGCCGTATAAATGCAGGGTGATCCACAAATAAGATATTGCGTTACACTTTAGATTTTTAAATGGAAACCCCCATATTATTTTAATTTTTAGATTTTCCATGAAGTTTATTGTAACTTTTGTTTGATAAAGTTTATACCTATCTCCAATCGTTGAGAAGCTATTTGAGTTATAATAAAATTCGACTAGCTTAATACTAATAATAATGGAATGGATGGCAAAAAATAATAGTCATGGATACCAGCAAGAACATTTAGCCTCAGTCAGTGTCATCGTGTGTCATAGAAAAACTTTATCTTTCATTTCAAATTGTTAAGTTACCTACTTAGTTGAAATAAATATTGAACAATTACTTATTCAATTCAAGAAGAGGTATAAATAACAGAAAAACAGAAAATTTGAAGACAATTTATCTGTGTCTAATATTCACCGTAATGGCCATCGAGAAAATCGACCAGTTTGAAATAAAGCCGCAGAAATAGCAGTTTTGGGACACGTATCACTTGAAAACACACAAAGCACTCGTGGACTGGCTACTTCTTCAGGATTTACACGCTCAACAGTACAAAGAATTTTGAAATACAACAAATTTCACCAGCACAAGGTAAAACTTGTCCATGAGCTTAATGATGAAGACGATTTTGATAGAATGTGGCTCGCTGCCCTCTTATGCAAACTTCCATCCTAAGGCCTCCCAGAAAAGCTTTGCAGATGGGTGGCTGACTTTCTCTCTGGCTGCAGGATATCCGTCGTAATTGACGGGTTCTCCTGTTCATCCCACAACGTTAACGTATTTGTTCCCCAGTAATCGGTCTTGGCTCCGACACTGTTGCTCTTACGTGTCAACGACCTTCTTTCCTGCTCAATAAATCCAATCCACAGCTTAGCTGATGACAGCACTCTACATACAGGAATTCTGCCGCTGAGATGGAAAAAAGAAAACTAGCGACGACTGAGTACTCCTCTTCGCATGACCTTCTCACTCTATACAAAGCCTAGATAAGGCCTAGCCTCGAGTATTGCTCACACGTTTGGAGTGCTGCGTAACGACTAGCTAATTTATGCTCGATGCTGTCATGCATGCCAAAATGATTTTGCCAAATTATAGCATATTCGCTCACACAACAAAACAAAGTTAGATTCTGATATGTAGTAGTAGTAGCGGTAGAGAGGCGAAACCACCTTTGGCCCTTTTTGCCCGAGATTCTGTTATAATTTATCCTTTTGAAGGAAAATAGTCTTGTTTCAACACTGCTTTTATTGATTTACACTGCAGCTAATCCAAACAAAGTTGCACCAGAGCCTGAAACTTGATACAGTGATACGAAAATTTATTTCCAGGAATTTTCTATTCGTTGGTTACAAATCTTCATCAAAATCACTTTATTTTCAAAATAACTAAACCCGTGCATCGGAATCTGTAGCATTTTATTAAAATAATTTTTTAACGGTCAGGTTTTCCAAAAAAATTATTTTTAGCAGTTATTGTGAAGTGTGCACTACAAAAAATTTAGCAGTATATGGGCTAATCCGTCCCTGGTGAACTAAATGATTTGATGTCAAAATTTCATTCGATTATACGGTGTTGTTCAAAAGTTACTTAAAAAATGTTCACTGGCGTCCTTCAGGGGCCTGTATCTGCGGTATTTCCAAAATCTATAAAGGACAAAATAGTCTTGGAGTTGTGCCAGGAATCACCCCTTAACTTTTTGTTTTGAAAACACCCTGTATTTCCAAAAGTTCGTTGCAATCAAAATACTCTGAGTTATCGAGAGACGATGTTAGGACTTTCAACACTTATAGGAAGAACATATACAGGTATGTAGTTATATTTTTTTCACAGTAAATAGATTTCCAGATATTGCGATGTTTTATTTGAAATCACGAAGGTAGTTCGAAATTTACATTTTTGTTATAAAGTATTTTCATTACTACTTAAATCGAAATTTACAATTACTTATGATGGCATTTTAATGTAATCGCAACGCAATATATCCGCTCAAATTTCGAACCAGCCAACGAATGAACGAACATTTGTTGAAATACCGTCAGTTAACAGACCAGTGCTTGTTCATTATGAATTTTGTTCGATTTTCGATTTAAATTAGGACGATTTCCCAAAATTGTTCTATCTGCTCATATAGCGAGAAGGTGTTTATGAAAACCGTTTAGCTTGACTGGTGGTGGTTATAACGCTTCGCTCTTCATTTGCAATCGGCGTGCATTTTTGTATTTGAGAAGTAGAATTTTATTTACATATTTACCAGAGCTATGAAGTTGCTTTCCCGTAGCAGATAGGTAAAGCTGCAAGAATAAAAGTATACAGTGTGTCCAGGTTAAGTCGCGTTTTTTAGGCATGAATACTGTACGTTGTGTAGAAAAGTGGCAGTTGAAAATTTAAAAATGGAGACAGGGCATCATAGACCATTTTAAATGGAATTGGGGTCATCTGATGACTCGTTTTAAATCTTTTAATAGGTAACTTATAACCCATTATGAACTAACTATAATAGCTGCTGTCAAAGTTCAACGTTCAACTCAGCAATCAGTCATCAAAACGCTATAGTAATATTCTTCTATTGGAAAGCTCTATCCGAACATATATTAAAATGTAAAACATCCTATGATAAAAAAATGTTAAAACCTGCCAATTTTTTAAAAGCAATGCACATATTTTACTATACATTCAAAATTTGAAGATGGCGACTGGGCGCCATCTTGTAGCATTTTTTTTTTAAATGGGGTAAGGAGTCGACACCTCATTTTGAAAATCCTTATTTATAAGTATTTTATAAGCCTAGAATATAAAATCACTATATTTTAACATCGAGTAGTGGAAAGCTATGAAAGATGAGCGTTTTTGTTTATTCAGCCGCTGAAATAGGATATGAGATATTCAGTTTAAAAAAATGACAGATTTTGAAATCACACCTTTCATTTTTATTACATATTCGGATATACCTTTCCAAAGGAAGAATATTGATATAATATACTAAAGCG